TATTATTATTATTATTATTATTATTATTATTATTATTATTATTATTATTATTATTATTATTATTTTGACGTATTGACCGGAAAGGTCGTTTTGTTCTTGCGATGATGCCCGGATGATCTCGTTTATATTCCCGGATAAAGGAGCTGCCTTTTTGCTTAAGGTCATATGAAAGCCGCCGACAATGGGAGCTAAAAGCACCTCATGCTCAAAATGTACATATAGGATTAGCAAATAGTATATTTGAATAATTATTGGGCTTTAAATATGATAAAGTTGTGAAATTTTTCATTACCTATAATAATCAGTGACACAGTAAGCTGATCAGTCACCTTGTTGTGTTGACTCGGCCGCTTCATTACAGCAGAACGACGTTACCGACTTCAATACTCCTGTCACACGTGGTAACTTAAGTGCACTGTGGGCGAGTACACTTCACTGCGAGTGTCATTTGCGCGCTGTCACTCTATATATTAGGGTCATTCGCTGCAAAGTGCGCTTGCTGGCAAGTGTGTTCCCCAACCTCGCTTTGCTGTGACAAAGTGTATAACCTCGATACGAGTGGCTTGCAGAGAAACACGCTGTTATCAAGAGGCACTCATACTGTTTTTAAACCGTTGTTTTCATTGTAAGGAATATTGACATGTATTAAAGTAAGCCATAATACAGCAAAAAACCTCGCTACTCTCACCCTTGGTTTGTTTGCAGTCACGTCCGCTAGAGGCATGCGGCAGCATATGCTGTGCAATGGATGCGTCCGGCGCGTTGCTTACTTCCAGGCACAACTTGCACATGTGTAGGCGAGTCGCTGTGTCGTCGTTTGCGAAGCTGTGTGCCGTCGGTGTTACTTCCACGAAGACAACGTGGTCCGGCGATGACACAGTGGCGCCAAAATAACAAAAATATGTTGCGCTACAAATTCGTCAGTTGCCACTGCCATCATTTCCAAAGTTCACTTTCTTGTGTAGCAGCGAACCGCCAAAACGACACCTCTTGAGCGTAAGTACACTTGCTCAAGGTGCACTTAAGTTGCCACGTGCGACGGGGGTATAAGCTAGACGCTTATGTTGCGTGTTTAGGAATGTTCTTCGTGTGTCGTCGACTCGTTCCCGACAAAGCTTGAAGGGCCCCTAAACCGCCACTGTTTCAAAGGCAAGACCGTCGTTTCTTCCTCGTCTTCGCTACCCTTTCTACAAGCGCTGTCTCCTCCTCGCCTCTTGTTTTTATCATGAAACACACAGATTGTGTACACTAAGCGTTCAGACAGCTAAGATTTTGCGCCATTCGACTAAACGCTGCTACCTCTGCTTGCGCCGTCGCAAACGCTGAAAACGAATCAGTTGGTCGCGCACTATAGTCATGCCTTACAAGGCAGAACGGGCATGCTACTGCACGGCAAAGCGGGCTGCAAAACAATGCACAACAGGTATATCTCATATATTTACCACTCGAGAACTTATTTGATCCCGCCGTCACGCGAACAAACGGCCGAAGTCATTGTTTGTGCCGTGAGAACGAGAAAACGTCGGGAGAGAATAAACTGCTCTTTTTTTTTTCTGTTTTCAGAGGTTGTTTATGTTCCTTTAAATCAGTTTTGGATGAGTCAAACTGTAGCTACATTTTTTTTTCTTTTGACCTTACCTTTGATTAGTCAACAGAAGCTATCAATACCTGAAAACCTTATCCGCCAATATGTTCACCCTCTCGATAAGAGCATCGAAAAACGAATGACAGTATGTTTATTTCGGATTTCTGATAAAGAAATATGGTGAACCGCGGCAACCAGATATCAAGAAAAAAAAACAATCACTGGAACGACTCGGAGCAGCTGCGTTAGCCATTCCCACTTTCTTTGTTGCTCGCGCACCTGATGTCCTTTAAAGGGGCCGGCAGTGCTTTTGCAAGCAATCTACGAATGATCCCATTACCAGAATTTATGGTGCCGCGAATTGACTGACGCGTAATTTTTTTTAATCTGCCAATCACGAGTGGAGCCACAACTGGTGAAATTACAAAAAAAAAGCTACGACAGCATGCGCCACGACCTTGAGCGTGTTATGATGACCCCAAAAAAAGGCAATGGTCATAAGATTAATCGCTAATAATTTTACATTATGTCATCATTGTAAAAAGGTCTTTGGTCATCAGGAAGTTACGCAAGAAAGTGCAAACTAAGCTTAGGATTCATCATAATTAACGGTTCATTACAACTGCATGTGTAACCTATGTTACCATTTAGGGTATTATAATATCAATAATAATAATATTTCTAGCGTGTATGATTCGCCCGGCTTTTGGCCGATTTTGAGGGTAGGCGCGAAATCACCCAAAGAACATGGTCATCATCCCTTCCCTCCATTAACGTAGTCGGCCCCGATCAGTGACATAATTTGCCGAGAGGAAAGATAGAGATTCCGGTATCTGTCCTTGAAACATAACTGCAAATTCCTTGCCGTGTACAGTACAATAATATTTCGTTCAGATGTGCACAAAAACCTCGACACTTCCCTGCAATATTAAAACAATTTGAACACGGTTTGGTGGTGCCCACACAGTGTGGAGATATGCGATATCTTCTACGAGGTGTGGGATGCGTCAACATGTTTTTGTTTTTTTTTTTTTCAGGGAGAAATAAAGATATCACCTCCACCTCTCCTGCCCCTATCTTCTACTGCTTCCTGAGAGGCATGGCTGAATGCCCTCCTCAACTGCCCCTCGCTGGAGTCTCAGGGAAGTATGGTGTTACGGGTGCGAGTCGGCGAAGGGTTACAGTTTGGTGGAATCAAAACGGCGCCATAACTCAGGCCAAATGTAGCCAAAGTAGCCATGTCATTTGTTATTCCTACATTGTGTACATGTGTGTAGTGGGTCTCGTGTTGAGAGAGGTGACGAGGAAGACGTGCATGGTCTATTATATAATTATATTTCATCACTACATAATATTCCTTGGCCCGGATCCCCCTGAGTGGGAATGAGTCATGTTCGAGGATTCAACACTTCTATTTTACAACAAAATGGCTTATTCTCTTGCAAAAATGTCGCTCTCCACGCTGATAATTTCTGTTTTTTTCCTCAACAGCTCACCTCACGGTGGCACGACTTCGCACATCAGCAAATTTGTATTATACCGCGCACTAAGTACTCCGGAAAACACCTTTTACTTCCCTGGCGCTTTGATCTGGCTAGGTGAAGCGGTTACCTCCCTTAATTCTTATTTGCACAGATCAAGTTTAATGAATTCCCCCTTGTGTCTTTTCTGTTATCAGGACGAAATTATTCGTCATTCTTTATATCATGTCGCCGATTCGATGCAATTAGGAAGAGCATACTAGTACCACTGCTTTTAAAACGGCGTCTGGAGCTATCATAACACGTTCTTTTTTTCATTTGGGGCCACTGCTTCGAGGTACAACTACAGGGATGTGTGTGTGTGTTTTTTTTTTTTTTGCTGTTCAAGACTACATCACTGCGAGCAAATAAATCTCTCTCTAAATTCGGCGTGCATAGCCTTTCTGATTACTAGGATTTAACTTGAAATCAGCAACTAATTGAAATTATTAAATCAAGTGGACCTAAGAATAACATATTACTGCAACTGTGGGAATAATTCACCTTCTACTCAGCCAGTCCATGTGCGGAAGACAAGAAGAAGCCACCGCCCACAGTGATGGTCGTTGTGTTCCGCATTGGTGTTCGATCGAGTTCATCGTCTGGCCAGACTTGACGTTGGACCACACTTTTGCGTGCAGCATCATGTCCAGAAGACTTGTTCCTCACAGTCCCTGGCACAATGGAATGCCGCCGTTTGTTCTCTCCACGGAGGAGTTCCATCCTATAATGAACTGTGGTTCCATGTGTGAATCACAGAGTAACCTGCCCTTCACAAGCGGCTGCACAACTCCTGACATGGTGCGGTTTGGTGGCAACATTTCCTCTCGCTCAAGCTTTGGGCGCAACTATGATCAGCAAGACCACTACTGGCCATGTCAGGGGTGCAGTGATCGTTATGGAAATCGCCAAGGTGGATACGGTCATAGGAACTGCAAGCGCCCCGGTCCCAGCAGCGAGCGGTCTCGATCTCCTGCTTCAAAGAGAGGAGCGCCACGGCATGACGGCACATGAAGAGATCAAGATCGGCCTAACAAGCAAGGCGCTACCCAGGAAGAAGCTGCTGCCGTGGAAGATGAAGTAGGGAAGGCCTCTGGTGCACAAGCTGGCGACCTTTATGATCCTGCAGAGTCGACCGTGGAGGACATTGTGGAGAGGGCCGAAGCAGCTGAAGGACAAGAATATCTCGACACTGGTGAAGGTGCTGAAGGAGATGCTAATGAAGCTGGTGATCAGGAAGGCGAAGGTTCCGCCAACCAGCATGAAGCGGGAAGCGGAGAAGGTGCTTTAACATACCTGCCAGTAATACACCAGCCAAACCAAGGCCCAAGGCATCTGGACCGAAGTCTTCAGACGCCAAACATACCATCAAAGGAGCTGGTGCAAAAGACAAGCAGGAGGCCGGGTTTCTGAAAAGTGTTGACAAGAGCAAGAGATTAGAAAAGGTGGCCAGAAAGGTAGAGGCTGGTGCTCAGTATGTGAGATTCACTTCTATCACAGATATCTAGACCAAAGGAGGATGGAAGATGGCAAGATAGAGCGGGATGACAAGTATCCGAAGTCCCAAACCTGCAGCATGGACTTTCATAATTGCAAATAATATGGGCACCACTGTGGTGGTGACTTTCAGTGCAATAATGTGGAAGTACATGGTAATAAGGTGGAATGAGTCAGCTGGTCCCTTGGCCGAAGAATACATGGAAAAAGTATCTGCCTAATACTGTACATCGTGCAAACTGCTCATGAAGATTCAACTGAAATGTCATCATTGCTGCACTCAAGGCCCCTACATGAGACACAGAGATATCACGCGCAAGGAAGCAGCTTCTACGAGAGGTGGGCCTGCAAAGAAGCGAAAGGTTAGGAATTACACAAATAAAGTAGGCAGCTATATGATGAATCCAGGGCAGCCTCAGGATGATGTAGGTTCTTCTGGAGTAACTAACAAACCAAAGAAGGAAAAGCTGGAGGAGGTAACTGATCAGGCAGGGCAAATAGCCTCGAAGGAGCAACCAAGATATGAGCATGAGATTGTAAAGTCTGAAGTCGAGGACCAGTCTGAGCCACCGAATGAAGGGGTTAACAATTCGAATGAGCAGGATGACGGTTAGGAGGAGATCCAGGCAGAGGAACAAGGGGCACTAGGGCATGACGCAGCTTCTGCAGCTGGGTTGGTCTTGAATGAATAGGAACAAAGCAACGTTCCCAACACAAATGGCAGCAAAAGCCTGGAGTATGAAGTAGGTGACAAAAGCATGTGGTGGCTGCTGCAGGTGCCAGCGCTGCTACAGCTGCCCCTAAAGCTTCTGTCTCTAGAGGCCCCACTAGCCAAAGCGCCACTTCTGACTGTAGGAGCTCCTAAGTCTGCTGCCACAGTAGTCAAGCCACACACGCAACTGCTACCACCAGGATACCTGCCATCATTACAGTGACAGCTTTGAGGTGGGCTCCTTCAACTTCTGTTCTTACGGCCTCTGCTGGTGCAGCCACCAAGAAGTCGCCAGCTGTGGCTAACGCAGCAGCAGCAGGCAAGGGTGGCACGGTGAGGAGTCGTTGCAGGTGGCAGCACCTAAAGAAGTTTTGTTTTGTTTTGTTTGAGCGTCACAGATTATGGCAAGTCTCACTCTTGGGGATCGGACCAGATTTTGTAGTTCTAAATGTAGTAGATAATTTGCACAAATTTGAATGGGAAAAAATAAATAAGTAGAAAACACTGCGTAATATATCAAATAAATTCTGTTTTCACTGTGCGATTGTGCTAGTACACCAGACTGCCGAATTAACCTGTTCATAGCAATCTCGACTATAATGAATTCTAACGTGTTTTTGAATATATCTATATTAATTATCAAATGTTTGTTGTGGTAAAGATTACCATGCATACGTTTACAGGCTTGAACGTGACTGCAAATTGCATCAAAAGCTTCCCTTGGCACTGTCGCAAACCTGAGGCACCAAAGTTTAGTATGATTTCTGCAGTCTAATTTAGTCCGAGCTTTGATGGCTGAGTAACAAGTAGTCTTCTAATATATGTGTATCTGCGACATGTCAAAAAATGTTGTTCAATCTTTTCTACATCCCCGCAGTATTGGAGATAGGCGACATCGTCTGACCAGCCCTGTGTAAATAAAAGTTCATAGGGGGCACATGGCACTGAAATCTTGTGATTGTAACTTCTGCTTGCCGAGGCTGAGTCCACCAAGCCATACATAAAAATTTTAGATGCTGATATTTTGTTCATGTTGTCATTGCTTCCATGCTATCGGAGCAAAGGGCTTCGTTTCTAAATATGAGATTGTAGCAATATTATCGCTAGATTTGTTGCCAAATAGAATTGGAGTGGTTTTACGAACAGAGTATTTACTATTGATGAATAAACAAAATCAGTTTGAGTAAGTAAAATCAGAAATTTAAATGTAACCAATAAATAACCATGGCACCAACTAGAAACTTTAGTAGCCAAACTGGTCGAAAAGTAGCAACTTTTGTGCAAAGTAGCCACCAACATGGTAACCTTGAGTCGGACCCTCGTCTTCAGCTGTCCCGGGCTAAGGCCGCCGACCATGTAGCGGGGTATGCTTTGGCTCCCGAACTGCCTTCTTTTATTTTTGCAATAAATGTTTTCATCACGTTATCTCTCAACAACGGGCCTGTGGGGTCTTTTGACGATGTTCAAAAAGTTTACTTACAACTAACTTGAGGTCACTATAGGCTCTGTCTTTAGTCAGTCAGGTACTAGTGGGCCTCGATGTAGCCTGAATTTGAGTGGCATTTTTGAAGCGCGCTTCGGAACGTCGGAACTCGAATTTCATCTCCCTTGTTCATACTGCGTTGTCACCATCGAACTTCCTCGCCTCAAGCGTGTAACATGTCCGCCCTTCTTCACCGTCACCAGTTCTTCGGGTACTAACCTCTCCACATTAGGGCGAGGGTATATTAACGTGAGGACGCGATGTTGAGGGCAACGCGAGGTTGCGCTTGCCCGGCCGTAAGTATCGGATCAGCTTGCATAGACGGACCGGGTCCCTTGAGGTTAGAGTAGAAGGGTTACTCACTGACAGCAGTTGAATTATATATTCAGGAAAAAAGAACAGGATGCACGAAAGCATAAACGTGGAGACGAGAACTGCGGGATCTTCGCTGAGAGAAAAACAATTATAGACATGTTTTTGTCTTATCGCGTTTTTTTCTTGTGTTATCCCTATTCGTTACTAAAAACAACTAATTAATAAAATCAATCCTTGGCTGATCCCTCTGAGTGGGCATGAGCCATACTTGAGGCAATATCATCATAAACATCATCATCATCACCATCACCATCATCATCACCACCGTCGTCGTCATTGCCATCGTTGTCGTCTTCGTATTGTTTCGTTACATACTTAACAATATCAAGGCGTATGGACTCGTGTCCCATGGGGGACTAGTTCCTACCCCTTCAGTTTATTATAGTGTGGAGGATGTAATGTTTAAAAGGCATCGGGCCGGCATGGTCATTACACCTCATGAGATCTCAGCGTAGAACTGCTTGCATTTTCCGCTGAGTGCCATACGTGCCCACACCACTCCGTTCCAGAGATTCAGTAAAACTCCAGCTAAACTTCTGAGGGTTCTCATTGCCACACAGCATTTAAGGAGAAAACTTTAGCTCAAGCCAAGGTGGACCACAAAGGATAGGAGAAAAAAGCACTGGCGTTTGCTAATTACTTCTTTATTCTTTTCGCAAACAACGAATTTAAATGCCACAACCACACGCGCATGCAAGGTGTGTCATTTATATGCGTTGCCACGAGAAGAATGAAGCAAATGTTAGAAGCCAGTGCACTCTTCTTTTCTTTCAGGTCCTCTTTGGTTTCCGCTGAAGCTTTCTCCTTAAAATTGAGGAAAGGAAGCAGACGCGTACGACCGATTATGGTCACGTCCAGGTCTGCAATGGGACCACCCCGTAGTGTACTATACTTGACATCCGCTACGGTGTCATAACCACTATAACCGTGCGTCAGATACGTGATAACTGATTCCTTCAGACATTGCTTCAATTAACACACAACAAAGGCTTTGCAACACGTATAATAACACATATGTATGCTCCAAACTCTGTATGCCTTGAGGGCACGTTTTCATGAAAAGAACAACCGTATGTAAACATTGCTCGCTAAACCGCGGTAGTTGCACTTTTGCTGTCTCTCTCACCATAACATTTTTGTTATGACAGTCTGAATATTTTCTATCCATAGTTTTCTTTCTACGAACGAAGCAAGCCACTTCTTCCATACGCTGAACGAGTGCTGTCTGACTTCATCTTCGAAGCGGAACAACACAGCGTTCCGGTTAGTCGCACCCTCGTGGTTAACGCATCGTGTGAGTTAGCGGCGCTCTTGCACCTGAATGTTTCGCAGTACAACTCTCCTCGAATTTATTCTCCGTCCCAGCCGATGTGCTCGCGTAGTAATTCGCCATGCGCGCCCGTATGCGGTGTGCTCCTCTATACAACGGTTGTTCGGAGAAACGCTCGTAGGGTAAGTAGAACTGTTGAAAAGAAAACAAAAACACAGAGAAGGTAATATAGGACATGCAAAAACGCTCTCAAACGCGAGCACTCGCCGGCATCGAAAATGCATGAGAAAGACCGCGCGCACATCAACGGTGGAAGCTTTTTTTTTTTTATTCTCTTCTTTTTTAGGTCTCTTGGTCGTGTCCGACATGTTCGCCAGTAGATAGCTCCCTCGTTCCATTTGATGCTTCTTTGTTTCGCTTACGTCTCGTTTATTTTTATTTTTTATTACACTCGGTTGCGCACCTCATCTGCTGCTATTCTCTTCCGTGTTTTATTTTTTTTTCCTTTTCATTGCTACGAGCAACGCGACTCAATTACTGCAGCTCCATGCTGTCCATGCACTACGGTTTGTCTCGGAAACTTGTATAAGCTTCCTTTCATTCCCCCCTCTACTCGTTGTACACTCGTTCTACTCGGTGACAGCGCGCACTCAAGTACGACAGCACGGCCGAGAGGCCAGTTCGTTTGTGGTCCGAGCGTAATTCGATGTGGGTCTGTAAAAATGGCCAAGATGAAGAGCTGTTCATTTCGAGCGCGACATGTCGAGTTAGTAGTACTCCTCTCCGCTTCCAGCGCCGACGCGGGCCCCGCTTACTTCTTGACGCAGAACATGCCATCGCAGTGTGCGGAAAGCAAGTAAAAAGAAGCTGACTAGTACGACTGCGATTCCCTTTCGAGCACTGCCCGCTTAAAGCGCCCCCTGGCGTCTCTCGACTCCCGGAATTGGCTGCCGACGCGAAGGAGCGAAACAGAGCTCGCGAGAGCGGCGCCATCAATATTAGAGCAGCAGTCGACGAGGACCAAGTCGTTCTGGGGGGGGGGTATGAACAAGTGCGCTGCAGAGCAGTCTATGCGTTGTACATAGGAGGCCTAACAACTCTTGTCTTTATGTATATACGGCCGCTGTTCTCATACGCACGTCCCATGCATTATGCACGGCTCGATGCGCTTTCTCCGCTGTCTGTAGAACTTCGTTCGAGCCGTGGAGTTTTCTTTTCTTTTTCTCGAGACTTGGTTTTCTTTCTTTATCTGGACCTACTTATACAGCATCCCCCTGCGTGTGTTCCAGTGAACAAAAAAAAAAAGGGGGGGGGGGGGGGAGCGAGTGCGCATGTGCGGTCTGGTGTAACGCGACAACAGGGGTGATGACAGCGATCCAGTTATACGAGGCGACCACCGTGACAGTGCTTGTGTACAATGATTTTTTTCTATTATTTTTATGTGGTGTCAGAAATGCAAGGGCCTCCTATGTGTGGCTGCATGATGAAGTCAACAAGAAACAAATCAAGTAGGACTCTTTCGGAGTTGGGAGTTTCTGTGCGAGAGGGAGCGTAAGTTCTGCGAGCGTATACGTATATATGAAATGTCCCACTTCAAACAAGCCAGGGCCGAGACGACACTCATATTCGGCGACAAGCGCTCCGAGCGGTGCTTGAGATCAAGACGAAAAAATAAAGTCGAACAAATATAAGTAGAGGGAGAAAGCACGCTGTGATGGCCGCTCGTTGTTTACAGCCGCCGCCAGGAAGTTCTGTGGCCAACTTCACAGATCGAAGTGGCTCACAGCTAAAACTTAAACAAAAAAAAAAAACACCTAGAGAACGTCATCAGAAGACAATGAAGCGAACAGTGTTCTAGCAGAGACGAGGATAATTCGAGGATGATTACGAGCGACCCCCCACCAGTGGGGCTTGTACTTGTTTTGTTTTTTAACATACATATATTAATAGACTCCGAAACTTCGTTGTCAACGTTCGTGTCGTCCGCTATTTCGTCTCGCGTCGTCTGCTCGAACGAAGAAGCGCGCGTCGTCTGCACAGGCAACGCAACGACGACTTGTTTATTTTCCTTTCGTTTTAATCGCGTCTTTTGTGTGTCCAGTTTGCTTCCCTCTTTCGTGTCCTATCCGTTTCGCTTTGATGCTTTGCCGTTCCATCAATTTTTTTTTTCTAATTTTTCGCGTGCTTTTTCCACGTATATTTCGGTGGAGTTCTCGTGCCGTGCCGCTTCGCTTGCCTTCGACGAGTCGTTAATAGCTTTTTTTTTTAACTCGTGCGGGAAATTCAGAACGCCGGTTATACGTACAGTGCTTTGTTGCACTTGTTTATTTTACCTTTGATACGCCGGTTGTCATTACAAACGCGACGCCAGAAACGTGCTTCGCGTTGGTGGCGTCGCGTGGCTGCCACCCGCCGACGACGACTTCGAGGTGCGTTCCGCATTCTTCCAACTGATTGGAAAACTTGGAAAGAAGTGGTGACGCCCCGAAGAAGGAGAGTGGGATCCTGTCGTCATTGTTTTTCGTTATTGCGTCTAAAAAGATGGATCGAGGACGCACCACCAAGATGGCATCGTGGCTTCGACCTCGACCGGTCGAGACCGGCTGCCATGCACGTGATCGAGCGAGCACTATAGGAAAAAAGTAAAACAAAGCATGGCAGCTGGTCGCACCAAGCGCCAGACTTGGTGCATGACTGGGGAAGTAACGAAAGAATGACAGCAGGCATGTGTCCATTGTATTATTTGCCTTTTTTTTTGGTGCTGAGCGTCCGCTCCTACATTTTGGTGCAATGCGTTGCGCATGGTCTCAATTGTACAGATAAACTACGGCGTTCATGTATTGCGGCGCTATCGAATGCATTGAAGCTAACATGCAGGGTAAATATATGTAGTAATTGGCTTTAAAATAACGAACGTACGAGTTGCTAAGGGTTGAGGAGCATCATCAGCATTGCTGTCTCATATCTTCGTGACAGATTGTCTTTTGGTTCTTGTCTCATAGCATCGTAACATTGTCGCTGAACTGATCTTGCACGATCAGTCTAGAGAATGTCTTTCAGTGTGACGTCACTGTTGTGAGTGTCGTCACTTGACACGTCATTGGCCGATATAATTGATTGATTGATATGAGGGGTTTAACGTCCCAAAACCACTATATGATTATGAGAGACGCCGTAGTGGAGGGCTCCAGAAATTCAGACCACCTGGGGTTCTTTAACGTGCACCAAAATCTGAGCACACGGGTCTACAACATTTCCGCCTCCATCGGAAATGCAGCCGCCGCAGCCGGGATTCAAACCCGCAACCTGCGGGTCAGCAGCCGAGTACCTTAGCCACTAGACCACCGCGGCGGGGCGAGCATCATCAACATTGCTGTCTCATATCTTCGTGACTGTGATTGTCTTTAGGTTGTTGTCTCATAGTATCATAACATTGTCGCTGAACTGATCTTGCACGATCAGTCTAGAGAATGTCTTTAAGCGTGACGTCACGGTTGGGAGTGTCGTCACTTGACACGTCATTGGCCGATATAGTTACCTATACAGAGGCATTACCACCAACAACAAAAAACTGTTCTTTACAAAAAAAAGATGTCAGATCCTGAACACTTTGGGCATCTATGCAACTCAAAGCAGCTAGCAAGGAGTAAATCATCCTGAACATTACATCTGTGCCATCATTTGCATGTTAGGACCTGTCATTTATGTTCAGTCACGTCACTTCATGCAATATTAGTTTCGGTGTATATCGATACAGCGAACTGGCCGCGAGCGCACTATGAGTGTGTAATTCAGTACATAACATGCATATCACTATGTTCATGTTCCCCCTTCGATGTATTTTCGTCATACAGTCACATCGAACAATACTCATGCTTTGGGGTATATCAAACTATAGCCGACCAGTCGCGAGCGCAACATGAGCGTGGCATGTACACCATGTCATTTTTGACATCCATACCGTGATTTTCTTGCTACGACGTGTGATTTCTGTGGGCCATTCAGAAATGTGTTTTCATGCCAATTTTAGCATATAATATATATATATATATATATCTATATATACAATATATATTATATAATTATATATATATATATTATATATATATATATATATATATATATATATGAATTCATGACCACGAGGTCCTCGAAACCATTTCTTGTAAATGAGGCTGTGCATGACGTTCGTGTAATGTTTTGCCCGTTAGGGCTTCTCACTTATGCTCGTCATACACTATTGTCACGCCATAAGGATTTTCGTATATGTCAAACTAACGGAACAGCCACATGCAAGAACACCAAGGCCACTTTTATTTTTTTGACGTTTACATTACGGTTACTTCTAATACCATTCCCAATACTTTCCCTGGCATATGATTGTTTGTAAGTTTTCATTGATACTTTGTCTAACAAAGAAAACAAGCCCTTAAAGTTTACACTTTCCTTCAAGGCCACGGAATGTCTTGCCGTTCATAACGAGTACCTATGTCATGGTTTTCGTTATTTGACCTATTATATATGTTCGTCATGCAATCATGTTATGGCACAGCAGGTTTTGTAAACATCTCATAAACGATATGACCAGGAGAGCACAAATTTGTAGGCGGCTAGATAGATAGATGATGTGCTGGAAGTTGCAGAAGTTGCTAAGAAATGCTTCGCCATCATGGTTCGACCAAATTTAACAGCAGTGGTTGCACCGATGCTTTTTGGCGGAATTTCATGTGCCCGACTTTTCAACCAATCAGATCATGGGCTGAAAAAAGTATGTTGTGGATCACTACCTTAAATTTCCATTACTACGAGAGTGCTTTTTAAAATCTCTTCCCTTGTAAGGATGGGGCCAATGCAGTTAATTCTATTAATGTTCGCTGAGTACGCCAGATTTCTTCGTTGCCGCGAGAAGTTCGATCTTTAGGGTTTTCGTATTGCGAGGTTCAACTGTGTATCGTCCCGTTGTATGAAGAGGGAAGAATGGAAGACCCCCTTATTTGTACTGAGCGTACAGCCGTTTGGTCGACGAAATTGTGTCGGGCAAAAAAGTGGGGTAAAACTCAAACCACAATTCCAGTGGCTAATGCAACTTACCGTCTTTGGAATAGGATTTTACGATTGAAGACAAAAAGTATATACTGATGTTGGTATCAGCGAAGTTTGCAGAATGAATCTTGGCGTTCGCGTTTATCTGCGAACGTAAAAATGATTTGTACGTATCAAGGAATCTGGATTACACTTTCACTCTTCCCGGAAGATTATTTCGTAGTGCTTTTTTTTTCACCACATTTAAAACTCATGACTTCGGTGGTCCTCCGTAGTGGGTACGGGTAAACGTTTTTGAACCACCACTATCGCCGTGATCGTCATAGTCACCTTACGCCCCTATAGGCACCACATTGCATAATTGGCCTCTGCTCTTACTGCGAAATTCGTCAAAATTATGCTTTTTCCGCACATAGCGCCCGCCGACAGGGAATCGCAAGACAAGCCCAAACAAATTGCCGCCCCTTCTCCGAACTTCTGGGACCCGATCTCCTGCGAGCACGAAGAACCGACCCCCGGATGCCTGTTCAGGGTCGAACAGGACATCAAGGAGATCGAGCGCTATCGCGTACCCTGGTATCTTCATATCCGCCGAGGAACACAACGTCACCAATATCCATGCGCTGATCCTAGGACCTCCAGGCACCCCGTACGAAGGCGGTTTCTTCCACTTTCTGATCAAGTGTCCGGCCGACTACCCCCACAGTCCTCCGCGGGTGCGCCTGATGACCACGGACGCCGGTCGCGTGCGGTTCGGGCCGAGCTTCTACGAGAACGGCAAGGTGTGCCTGGGTCTCCTGGGAACAAGCTCTTACGGAACCACGTGGAGTTCTTCGCAGTGCCTGGGGAACGTGCTGTACACCATCAAGTCGCTGATGACTAATGAAGATCCCGTGACCCTGGGTTCCGGCCTTCGGAGTCCTCCCGGCGCTAGGAACGTGGCTGAACGACAAGATACGCTACAACACCACCCTGCAGCACGAGACCATCAGGGTCGCTGTGTGCAACGCGGTCGAGGGATGTCTGCGAAGAAGGTCGGCTTGCCCGCGATCCCTTAGAGACGAGATCTTGAGGTACTTCCCGCAGTTCTTCGGCGAGTACATGACGGTGGTCAGGAACCACCTGCACTTGACCGGCTCCTACATGAACGACTCCACCGAGGGAGGCGTCCCCACGTACCAGTTCGAGACGCTCATGGCACATCTCGTAGCTCTGCGGGAAGATGTCGAATTGGTGAACCCAATTCCATACGAAAAAGAACAAGGGTGACAGCGTCTAGAAAAAGAAGTAGGTCGTGCGCGAGCAGTGCTTGAACATACCTTCTGGCTTGCCAGCTTGTGTACCGCGAGTCTTGCGTGTAAATGTGGGTACTGCCCCGCTAAATAATTCGAAATATATATTCCTGAATGGTTGGCGTTATCAAAGGCGTGTGTGTGTGTGTGTGTGTGTGTGTGTGTGTGTGTGTGTGTGTGTGTGTGTGTGTGTGTGTGTGTGTGTGTGTGTGTGTGTGTGTGTGTGTGTGTGTGTGTGTGCATGTGCGCGCGTTTATGTGTACGATGTTGCTTATGCGGCGTGTGAAATTGAACATGTGTCATGAATAGTTAGATGAACAAGTGTAAATTATGTCAAGGCGTATAGGGTGGACGCTTGGGCTTGATAAGATATGGCTGTACACATCGAAACGTGGATGATACTGCAATATAGACAGAACAAAATGAGATTTTTAGATGCGAAGCAGCTCTTAGGCTAACCTGTGTAGCGCTGTCCCTCCGTATGGACGCCGTGCCGCGTGCTGCAGGTGTTGGCGCGGTGCCAAGTTGGTCACGCCGCTACTGAACGTTGACGTTACCATCATTTCACAGCGCGCGCTGACGTCACTCTCTCCCTCGGCTGCCACGCGCTTGCCGCGGCGCCCGAAGTTTCCGCCTCGTCCGTTCACCCGCAACATATGCGGTGACCGCCGCTCCCTACACTGCTGACTCGTCGGTTCACGCGCAATATACCTGACACGCGCCTAACGTACGCGTTGAAACATGTCTGTACGTGTCACCTACAAGACCTATGCCAGCCATCACTTCAAACGAATCTTCCAGCGCTCACCGCAGCACGCACGTTAGCGCCATTCAACCCGTAATGCCACTCATGCGGAACGCTGAGTGGTTCTCTTAGGGGAGATCGTGTAATTTTTTTTCACGGTGCCTGTATTTGTCTATTGTTCAGTGCCATCCAGTTTGCGCTATCATTTTTCACCGTACAAATTATAAAAACGCTAGCAAACCTGACCACGACGCACAACGCAGAGAGGTCGCCATCTGAATGCTTCACTATAATTGCATCAATCTAATTTTTTTTTTACCTGCGTCCTGGAAAACACACAATCAAATTAGAACCGAGCGCAGCAGAAATCGTGGCGAAATGTTACAATGAGAGTTACGCAACAGTGACAGCCCGATAAAAAAAAGAGAGAGAGATGGAAGAGCTGAATGTATGATATTATATCTGCTAAGCAGTCTGTATGTCGCAACTTTGACGAATTGGGGAGGGTGTACGAAATTTCCTCTGCTGTTGTGGGTATAAATTACAGGAATATCTCAAAATGTTTGTCGTAGGGAACCACGGGTTCAGCTGGTGGAGCCAGTAGCTTCTCAACTGTTCTTTTAGTCGTTGGAGAAATATTCTGGCATAGAGGGACATCTTGTCATTCAGTTGGATAAATTATTTACGATAAGTTAACAAAATGTTGTTCTTAAATAGAGCTGTACAATCTCCGCAAGCAAGGTGTTTGAATATACGATGTTTATTCATTAAGGTAACGGGATTCAGTTAGAAGCAGACCAAGTGAACATGATACCGACAGCTTTCTGTTGAATATTTTTCAGGAACAACTGCGTTACGTTTCGTGTAGGAGTCCCATACAATCGCTGAGTGTTCGAGCTTTCAGTTTCTGTTTGAAATACATAAAGGACGTAGAAGGGCTCGTGATATGGTATAGGTGTTTCACGACGACCCGGCACTGATCTGTCGTATGAAAGGAAACTGCATCTACTGCAGAGAGCTTAACGAACCGTGATACATGACACAGCGCAAGAAAGGTCGCTAACAGAAAGTGGCATGCGGTATTCGAGGTGAACAGGCAGTGTTGCGATCACACTGGTCGAGCATATTGCACGCTGTGAAACTTGTAATACGACGTTCTAACAAAGTCATTGGACAAGCCCACTAACCTCTGCTTCCGCTGTTGCCTATAGGTTGATTCAGAAATTTATGAACGCAAATTTCGTCATCACGCATTGCGTCTGTTCTCACGTTTAGCCATGCATAATCATCGACCATTTCGCAGCGTCGACAGGTGACACGGAACTTCCACCTATAAGACAGGAGATGCATTGAAGAGCTAGTCTCGATCAAAGCTTACCTGTACCCCCTCCCTCCCCTAAAGAAAGAGTAATGATAAAAAACGCCAGGCCTGCGCGGTAGGCGCAGCACAGTCACAGCGAAAGCTATTAGGGCTGCCTCTCAGAGCCCTTTCAAAAAACTCATTGGGTAACTACTGCAAGCACACTTGCTTGGTACCCACTTGGGCATTAATAATAAGCTTTTGGGTAGTAGGCTGGCATTCGCTATGCTATTTTTGTCATTCTTCTGAAAAGCGTGGTATCCTCTAAACACTTGCAAGGAATTTTGTGCCAATTGTCCATGCAGTGGCAGATGACGATGATGAATTAAGGCTGAAGTGGGTATGCGCCACAGTTAATAAGGAAACATGAACATGATTTTGTAATGGTTTGGAGCATTGGATGGCCCACTTGTTACGCTATTCACATTGTGTGACGACTGGTAGTTCTTTCGCTGTTATAAAACGCTTTATAAGTCGTATTAACGCGATTGTTCTCCCGACTATGAAGCCTTCCTAAGGCAGGTTTGACAACACGTCACAAGCCGCGGTGTAGCTCTGTTTTTTTATTTATTGTAGGATATAACATTCAAACAACAGCAAACGCACTCCGACTAATCTTCTAGCTCAATGCCATGGCATAAGGCAGATGAGCCATTTGCCACACATACTTAAGATGGTTTCAAACGACATAATTCTTTCATAACATTTAGCAGTTCACCATTGTAGTAAAGTTTTGCAACAACTTCTTGCAACTTGCAATAAAATGTTCAATAAAATGTTCTACTTGCAATGTTCAATAAATATGTACAATAGAAAAACCGGTGTAGCTCACTGGCAGAATACTGGGCTGGCACCCAGCAGACTCGGGTTCGAGACCCACTGTGCCATTGGTACTAGGTCATACCAACCTGAGGCAAGTTTTACAAGTTATAAGCGCCGGCGTGACTCAGTAGTGCAATATTGGGCTGGCACGCAGTGAACCCGGGTTCAAGCCCCTCTGTGCCATTTGTGCAAGGTTCTTTTTTTTTTTCGCGCGATATGGTTACGGACACCGGCGGCGGCGGCGGACAACAACTGCGCGTGACCCGAAAAGTGATCTCATAACAGCTTTCGCTTTAGAAGAAGATGCGCTCACGTAGAGTCCTGCGAGAACGAAGCCCCTCAGTGGTATTACGAGGCGGGGAAAGTTCTGCTCGCTTGAACCAAGGCAGGTAGGACTTGCGTGGCACGTAATACGAAAGAATAAAGGCATAGAGGGGCATTCATCACTCGCGGCACATAAATATCTCACGGCACGCCTGGGAAGAACGTGCGGGCCTCTCCCCGTATTTCCTGCAGTGCCACCGCTTCGGGCCCCAGGGAGGGGCAAGGACCCGTGGCAAGAACGGCAACACTGGCCACGCAAGCGGCGGCGGCAGCCAATAGGCGAGCCACGTAAGCTTTCCTCGCTGATCACGTATACCCTTATACTTGCTGCTTCGTTTTTCTCGCGCTCTAATGCCCTGGCTGGGCTTGTTGTATGGCCCCTCTGGGCACTGCTAGACTGGAGCAGTTCTTCAGCCTGGTACCACCCCCTCCAATTTGTGACCTGTTCCTTCCGTTTCGGGCTTTTATGCCATGCGTACGCTAGGCGTGCAGTTTGACAGCGGTGGCTCTAGTATGGTGAATGGGGACACACTTTCACGCTGGATGGTGGGAGACGAGGAGAGGAGGCGGGGGGGGGGGGGAGTAGTTCGACGTGAGTGAGCAAATCGCCAGTGAGAAGACAGTGAAGAAAAGACAAAAGAGGAAGAGTAGGAGGGTGAGCACTACAAGGCGCGGCATACCACGCGCGGTGGTATCGTCGCTTTTGCCTGCAGCGTCACGGCAATCTGCGTAATTGCAGCAGCAGCGGCGGCGTGAGCCAACCTTTAAACGCTTCGCAGGCCACCCGTCCCGCTACCTGAACTTGCCTCCTCCCCAAAGCGCCACCGCTTCCGCGGTGCAAGCCTACACGACAGGACTGCGTTTTTCTTTTTGCTTATGTTCGTCGTTCGTATAATGTCCGGGCGAGAGCGTGAGATCTTATGCGCCACAGCGTACACTCAGAAGCAACGACGACAGGGAGGAGTGGAAAAAGTAAGAACAACAGCGGTTCGTGTTTACGGTGTAAGTTGCGAGCGCTTTCGCTTCTTGGGTGTTTTATTTTCATGTCTTCGTCACGCGAGTCAGGAAAGAGAAGGGGAGGCGTGCTCTTTTGTTTCTGTCCAGCCAAGCGAGCACCGCGCCAATCCACTCTCGGCTGTAGCCGACGGTGCGGTCGCTGCTCGCCGGTTAATAACAGTAATAAAGTGGCTCGCAAGCCGAGAGGCCATCACAGGGGCAGCCCAAAAGCGCACCCGGAGCGGCACGCATGATGGCAGACTGCTGCTCACTCTCTCGCTATCCCACCCATTGCCTCTCCTCCAATTCTGCGCTCTTCTTCTTTCCTCTTCACACAGCTCTTTTGTAGAGAGGCGAGGAGGTGGCCCACCACTGATGGCTCCGCGAAATAGAAGCTGCTTTGCGCTGAGTGCTGCGAGTTACCGCGCTTATGGGGGGGGGGGGGGGGGGGGGGGGGCTCATACGTATTATGTATGTACACTGAAAGGAGAAAGTAGTTGATCAGAACGTCTTGAGGGGCTATCTGGTTCATTACTTCAAAGGAAAAAAAATTGCGCAACTAAGAAAAATAAGCATGCAATGTACCCTGGTGCGTTGGTGCAGCTATGTTCGGTTTTCCTATTTAATCGACGATCTACAGTCAATAAAACAGCAGAGTGACTTGTTGGGCGAGTTCGTTCATTCTTAACGAGCCTATAGCGCAAAGAAGCACAAGAGAAGGACAAGGAAT